GAAAGTCTTTCATTCAGAAATACTGCAGCCAAACTTCATAGGAGCTATAGCCATCTTTAAGAATTTGCATATGACACCTGAATCCAGTCTACCCTTGCTGGACTACATATCCCACAAACCTTCACAAGCCTGCATTGTTCCTGGGGTGGAGATGAGTAAGAGCACTTAGCTTGAAATTTACCCTGCAGCCTAATGCATTACAAATGCTTTTCTAGTAGTAGATGATGGCTTGATGCAGTTATCATCTTTGCTGAACTTTAGAGCTGGAGCCTGAACTATTTTCATATGCCAAAGAACTAACAGGAGAAGTTCTAAGCAAAATATTTTGAGCCAGGACAAACTCCAGCCATGCCACTGGTTTTCCTTTACACGTTATAAGATCAGATGAGGTACGATACAAACTTTAAAGGAGGAGTTTCATAATCCTTAAGCGTTCTACATAATCTCAGCAGTGGAATTTACTATAGACAAAAAGCCTCTATATGAGACAAATGTCAAAGTGAGAAAAGAGCTAAGAAAAGATAATAGTTTGCTTTTAATAGCATGCTGGCTCTTCATCACAAGGCAAATGTCTAGCTAGAGATTCAGTTGTAATACAACAATAGTTTGCAAAAATGAATGTAACAGCATTGTTAATGCTGAGCTACTGTTACATTCTTAAGCATGCATGGCTTACTTTTAACAGAATGCTTCAGTTCACATTTATTATACAGAAAACTGCAGTACATTGAAATACCATTAAAAAAAAAGTTCAAATATCCTGAGAAACATTCAGTATGTCAGTAACTCACAGGATTTTCAAAACTCACTTTCAACAGAACACAGACTCTTCCAGTAAGGCAAGAATGCCCTCCCCCCTCCTCACCTACCTTTTAAAAAGTTTGTCCGTATGAGAGTTGAAGTAAAAGGAAGAATTTCATAACCATTCCTAAGAATATATGAAAAACATCTAAAGCAATCTCATTTAATCTGCACGTGCATCCAGAGAACATATATTTCACTGGGTAGGAAAGATGAAGATATCGTCAATCAATGTTTAACAGCCTACTGTTTACTCAAGGCAGACAGAGGGAGCTGTTGCTATTCAAACTAGGGATGATGGCCTCAGACAGACACATGATGATATGTAATAAAAGTAGTTTGAAAAATGACTGGCACTGGAAACCTCATTTACTAAGGTCAAAGAGAAAATACATCTGTAATTCCCCTCCTCCCTCCCCCCCCCCATTTGTTGTTTTGGTTTTCTTTATTTTTTTAAAAAAAAAAAAAAAAAAAAAAAAAAAGCACCAACATTAATGCAAAAGTGTTACGTAACATAACAAGATAGTTTTTCAAGGCCACATCAATTACAGCCCTTTATCACAGCCAAGCAGATTTGAAAGTGTTTATCCCCAGATGTGCCTTACACCAGCAAAAGCCTGCACTCAGCAAGTACCGATAGAGCGGGCTGCCCGCAGATAGGACTGAAAGGGGCAGCTCCAGTCCTGGCTTGAAGCACCACAGACCTGGCTCCAGCTTGACTGTGTCAGGCTGGCCACATGTCCTTGGCCAAGTCATGTCTGTCTGAAGCCTGGATAGCTGACATCTTCTAGTAGCAATTATTTAGATCAAGTCAGTGTAGATCTTGAGCCCACTATACCCTTCCAGTAGGGTAGATAAAAGACTAGTGTTCCCAAGCAAGAGATTTTTATCTTGAACATCAACTATTAATGAATATTTAATGTGTCCATTAACTTGGCTAAATCTTCTGAGGTTATTCTAACACTCTTCGCAGCACCCTGTGACAGTGAGGTCCACAGGCTAATTAAGAATAACAAAGGACAAAGTTGAAAACTCTCCACCCAATAACTTCACTTGCTGCCTTACTTTCTTTCTTGTGGGAAGCTTACTCTCCACTCCACATCACTCATGAGGAAGGCGAAACTCAAGTAGATGAACAAAGCCAGAGTGCAGCTAAAAGCTATGGCACTGACCACTAGCATCATTACTATCCTCCTCGGACAAGAGTCCGCCAGACATCCAAGGAGAGAGCCAAAGCCTCAGAGACACAGCCAGCAGACACCAATTAAAGTTACTAAACCACACAGCTGCTCGAAGGGTTTAGCCATGAGTAGACTAGGCGTATAATTGACCGTTTTTGTTGCACTTCTTTGCTTTTGCTTTCTATGAGCTTTATATAATCCATTAACAGATTCCCCTATGCAGCACAGCACTGCCCTTGGCCCCCAAAACTGATGGGACTAGCAACAATTAACTTAAAATGGATATAAGAAAACCTTTCATTAGCAGAGTCTAAAGCAATAGCCTGAAACCCTCTTAAAGGAGGGATCTGAACCATGAACAGGAAATTTTAGGAATGCAGAAAACACACTGAGTTATTAGCCTGCTATATTACTTTTATTGTCAAGAGCACTGTGTTGTATGGAGTTCAATATTCACTGGGAAAAAAAAAAAACAAACAAAACAAAAAACCAACAAAAAACCCAACAATTGATGGCATTTTAACTAGAGCTGAATGAAATAACCAATAAAACAACAAAGCACAGAGAACAAGCTAGATTTTCTGATTCACTGCCAGCACCATGCCCTTGCTAGGCTGTACTCAGCTTTGCTGCTAGTAACAGTACAATAGGAGGGCAGAACTTGTCCATCATATCTAGCAGACACCCTTTCGAAGATTATTAGAGATACCATTTATTCCTTTTTTCCATGTCTCAGCTTTAAAAGAGGCATATCCTTGTTATTAAACAGGGACCGTTATTGAAATGTCCTGTGGGATTTAATGACTGATATCTACTCAGTATCAGAGCACAGGCTTCCCACAGGGTACTTCATGCTAAAGTCCTACAGGTGGGATTTCCCCAAGTACTCAGTATAGATTAAGCCCCAGTTTGCAGCTTGCAGCAGCCTCCTACCTAGGAGAGTTCAGAAATGCAACACACTAACTGCTACCTCCCACCTTTACCATTTTTTTCCCCTCTCTAGTGTCACAGTTCCATCAATGCCAGTAAAGTTGTTAAATCCCATCTCATGTAAGTATCAGAGAGACATGCATCATTATTCTTCTGAGCAAAGCCTGAAGGTATCCACTCCACAGGGGGAATGTGATTTCAGACTACAGTCCAAAATTGTACTTTCTATCTTGTTTAATACTTTGATTTATATCCTCATTAGCATGGGAGAATAGCTCCTATTAAAACTATTAAAGATAATTTTAGCAATAATATCAAAGGATGAGTAGGTGTAATGATAGCACTAATGATGAAAATTAATAACCATTCATTATTTTTAATCGTATGTACAGTTGAAATGAATATTCAAGAAAATAAACACAACATTTTAATATGAGCCAAAAACTAAAGGGAAGTAAAACCACTATGAATTATACTCCAAATTATCAGTTGTCCACTGACAAAATGTATTATGCTACACTTTTACAGTCATGAAAGTATTCTTCAGGAGACCACACATCTGGGCCCCACCAAGCAAATGTCAGTTCACCTCTCACACTTGCATCCTGTGAGCCTCACTTTGACACACTGGGCATTTGGCATCTTAATTCCAGGTATGTGAGGGAACACTGGATGAGGACGCTACTGTTAATGTAGAAAAGCACCAATTATAACATTTATTTCCTTAGTATCTACATCTGTTCCCTTATCACCGCACTGGCCGTGTCCTTTTAGATTCATTAGCTCTTGAGCACTGCACCATTTCTCATAGGGACAGCACTATGGCAAATGATTCTATGGACTTCAGCAACTACATATTGTGGCTTCAAGATTGGCTGTCAACACAAGCAACTAAGAGAAACCCCTGCATGACTTCGCAGGGTGTGAAACTCACTTCCAGAAAACAACAAGCTACAGTACTTCCCAATCCATTTCAACAATTTGAAAACACAACTTATGTTAAACACTGCCTCCAAAGTACATACTTGATGATATTTGCATGGCTTCAAGTCTTCAAGGGGAGAAAGATTTCATCCTTTCTTGGAAGGATGACTGTCATTCAGGTTTTCTTTAAGGGCAAAGGGGCAAGGGGTAAAACCAAACAAGAAATAGAACTCCTAACTGATCGAGTTATTTTCAACAATAGAACTGCAATTTTGTCTTTCATTACAGGTCACCTTAAAGGTTTTGCAAAAGCCTTTGCTAGACATTAAATCCCCCAGTGAAAGGTACAAAAGTCATTTGAAATTTGAAGTGATTTTATCTTAAGAATCAAATGTAAGAGCTTCTGACAGCAGCAAAGCTGTGTTCATGTCATCTGAAACACGTCCTATCTTAATTGTGAAATAGCTGATACTGCTTTTGGTCTGCAGACAGGTTATGTATTTAAAGTTTTACTTCTCTGAAGTTTCAATAACTGCCCTATGACCTCAATAAAGAGGGCTTTTTCAAAAAGGATGCATGAACATTATTCCTAGACAAGGTTCTTGGACAGTTAGAAAAATAGTGCCAACAAAAGGCTACCTAAAATGATCACTGCATGTTCATAGAACTCCATCTCCAGCTGATAAATTGAAGTCCCACACACTAATTGTCACCTTGGTGACTGGTTATGACATGCAAACATTTCCACGCTTGACCAAGGCTGCCACAAGTACCCCTTGCTCCTGCAATAGGAATTGCAGAAATAGTTCCCAAAAACACAAGTCACCTAGGACATTAAAAAGAACAACTTAGAACTAATTTCCATCAACCTGTCAGCCTGTATTACTTTACCGGGTTCAGAGAAACAGAGTTGCCCACATCTCCCTCCAGATTTTTTTTTTTAAAGCCATACAGAGCATTTTGCTGCCACAGCGAGCATGCACCAGCAACCAGGCTGCTCCATGTCAGTATTAGTTTTTGGTCAGAAAAAAAGAACCAAAAAAAACAAATAACAAACAAACAAACCCAAAACAATTGAAGTGCCAAAGGAAAACAATAATAAGAAAAGCCTCCTACCTTTTGGAGTACTTCACATTTGCATTCCACCAGAAGGATGACCATTCAGCCTCACACACCTGTGGATCTGGCACACAGCAGGTTTTTCAGGGTAGCAATCATGAGATCTGTGCCCTGAGGGAAGAAGTCCTTATAAACAATTTGGAGGGGAAAAAAAATAAAAACATAAAAATATCAGAAGCAGGAACGACGACGTAAGTTCTATTCCATCTCCTCAGAAACAAAGGCACTGTTGGTTGAGCAGTTGCATCACTAAGCACGTAACTCTTTTCCAATGCATACATAGCGGATTTGTATTTTGTGCCCTTGTCAATTCCTCTCCCTATCTGCCCAAACTGTGAGCCATGTTAGTTCATGTGGGGGATGGCAGCATCTTGCTGTGCAGGGATGCCTGTTGCCTGCAACAACACTCTTCTCAGTGTGATCCCCAGAAGACAACTCAAAGCAAAAGATAAGGTATTGGGGTCACAGCTGAAATACCACTGCTCCATACACAGGTGATACACTAAGTTAACTAAGTTAACTTCAGGATATTATTGTCACTAAGCATTTAATAATTGCTATGGAGACAGAGAGATGAACTGCATTTAACCACAATCTCCACTTCCCGCAGGCCTTAGTCCCTCAGACGTTTTGGGATGCTGGAAGATTCAAGAGCACTGCACATCTGCAACCAGACAATGGCCTTCTGCCATTTTGACTTAAAACTCCAGGCCAGCTGCAATTAAATTAAAAGCAAACAAAACCAAAACAAACTCAAGAACAAGCACCCCCCAAATATCAAACTCACAGACAAGCACTACTGAGCTGAAAAGAAAAGGCTCAGCCAAAGACCATACATACAAAAAGCAAGTAGAAAGTGATGAAACTGAGATACTCAGGAAAATATACCAAGCACACAATGATCAACCTACGCAGTGTAGGAGAGGAAACAAATATCTCTCAGAGTGTAAATGGAGGTCACAGTGGTGAGTACTGGGTGTGTGAACTGGGAGCACAGGTCTGCAGCTGCTGAAACTCCACAGCTCCCAGAACAGCTCTCAGGAAAGGAGGGAACTCTCCAGCCCATGTTGTATGGATGAGGAAATACTTAATTACAGTTGCTTTTATTCTGTTGTTGTTTTCTTCCTCAGAAAAATTTCAGTTCCCAGATATGAAGGCATTATATTGCTGCTGTCACTGGCTAGCCTCATGCCATTTCAAGCACCCTCAGATAAAGAGCAGCTTTCCTCTCCGTTGACTGACCTCTGACTGGAAACAGTGGCTGGAGGGAGAGGTAGTGAGTAAATCTCATGTGGTGACTGTGAGGCTTTAGTGGCCTTCAGCACTGAGGAGGTGAATGCCTGAGCAGCACCCCGAGAGCTGTTTTGTTTCAGTAGTGCCAAACTCATGTTTGTTCAGCTGTGTCTGACCAGGAGATTTGTTTTTACCTCTAGCTTCTGTTTGCTTTGGTTTCTTCTGCTTTATTAGCATTTCTTGGATGTTAGTTTTGACTTCTCTTGCCATTTTTCTGATCATGAGGGTCTCCAAGTGCTTTCCGTGCAGTGACTTCCAGAGAGCAGGAGGGTGACTGCTGCCTCTACACATGTCCTCACACAGGCCATGACTGAGCTCCTCCAGCAATGGCCAGGCCTTTCTGAGTGGTGCCCTAGGAGAAGTAAATCACTGTATCACAATGGTTGCTATTCTGGGACAGGCCCATGTGGAAATGGGTGTGGATGCAGACTGGACACTTCCAGGCACCCGCAGCCAGAGACTTGCTCAGAGCATGGTAATTCCTGCTCTTAACATCTGAGCCAAGTTTTATTTTTTCAATATTTATTAACTAATTAGTTCAATTTATAATTTTATTTAATCAATAAACCACTTATTATTTATACTATTTAAAATATATTAATTCTCAAGTTGTGACGGTGACTGATTCACAACCTTTCAAAGCCCAGACTGACATAACGAGCAGAAGCTTCAATTAGCTTTTGCTGGAGCTGCAAACTCCCTGTAGCATCCAAGGTGGATGTGGGGCTTGCTAGAAGCAGTGCAGCAGCTGCCAGCATCCTCTGCACAAGGCAGCCTGGCTTTATCCTCAGGGATTAACCAAACTCCCCATGGCTCTCTCTAGAGCAGACATCAGCTCCTTTCTTTGAGGAGAATCAGAAATGATGCAACCTACCACCTGCACGCATGAATCCTGCTCAGATCCCCACGGAGGGCCACAGGGAGCATGCTAACAGCCCCAGTGCCCTGCTTGATAAACCCTGAACCTAGGACCAAAATGGCTCTTTCATCCCTGAAGAGAAAGACACTTTTCAAAATGGAAATTACATTATGAATTTCACACTGTATTTATATAATATTTGCTGTATTTATTAACTAATTACTAGTTGATTATTAATCAGTCAACATTTGGAAACTAACAATTCATTACTAAATATTTGTAAATTGATTACTTGACACGCACTCAATTTTAAACTATGATACTTATGTTCAAGTGATGACGGGGACTGATTTACAACTGTGTTAAGAGCCCCCTGGAGCTGCAGCAAGCTGTTGCTGCACTCCCAGTCCCATGCAGGTGGCGGAGCTGGCAGTGCAGCCCTGCAGCCCTTACCCTCAACATTGGGCAGGATATGGCTTTGGGTAAGAAAGCCAAAGAGCTTTGTACCTAGGTGCTGCTCAGGTGTGGCTATGGTTATCTGAGGATTTTGCTCCTGCCAGAGGTGGTGCCACAGACTGATGCTGCCACACAACTGGTGGCTGAATCCAGAGCCATTGTGAAAGAAAAAAAACAAACCCTAATACAATAACCCAACCCAAAAAAGCCTAAAAATTTCACAGAATCATAAAGTGGCTTAGGTTGGAAGGAACCTTAAAGCCCATCCAGTTCCTCTCCCTGGCATGGGCTGGTTGCTACCAAAGACCTCATCCAACCCAGCCTTCACCATCTCCAGGGATGGGGCACCCTCAGCTTCTTTAGGCAAATCAGGAGGAATGAGTGGTGTGTTCACTATTTATATATATATATTTTATATGCATACACTTCTCAGTATGACTTCCTAGTATCTTTAAAAATAGTAAAATGGTGAATTAGTAAAGCAGAATGGAGAGGCAGTAACCTTGTGAACTAAAGGTTATCCATTATTCTTTAGTAACAGTAACTTGCAGTTTCAAGTTTCAAAAACAAAAATGTTCATTTAAACTAAGACTAAGGCACTGTAGAATATTTGGGCACCTATCAAAATAATGCAGAAACTTTACAGAGCTGTAAGCTGTAATGAATGTTATCCAAATTGCTACTGTTAAAGACAGGAGGAAGTTCTACAGCTTTTTTTTTTTTTTTTTTTTTTTTTTTTTTTTTTAACATGGATAACTGAGAGATGGGGAAGCTCAATATGAGTAGAATACATCAAAGCTGCTGTGAAAACAGAGATTAGTAATGCCAGCCTGCTGCAAAGGCTAATCACAAAAACAAGGACCAGAAAACAGCTGAGAAAGCACTGTTAAAAAGCAGGAAAAGCCTGCCAGTTCAAGAAACAAATAGTATCCCCCATTGAAGAAACCTACTTGAAAGCAGAATAAGAGGACTGTCCCAATTATGAAGTAATTGACGATACTGGAAAAAAATTCATACTTAAGGAATAGATGGTCTTAAGAAGTGATTCTGTCTCTAGCAATTGCCAGGAAAATGCTACAGAATCAAGTACCTTAGTGGGCTTGGTAGGGCTCCCTGGTTTGTTGTACAGGGTGGTCTTTCTAAACGAGAAGAGCTTAAAAATACAGCTGAAGCTGGTGCTGGGATTGCTCATTTCAGTCATCTTCTTTCAAGCAAGTATGCTTAAGTATAGGAAAAATCTCAAGGGATGGAATAATGAATAGTAAAATGTTAATTCTTCCAGAGGGGAAGTAAAATTGAGGAAAGATGCCATAGATTAGTAGAGGATAATCACAGTAACTGAGGCTTAACTGTTACATTCCATATTTCCTGAAGTTGACACCATGGTGCATTACTGTAAATTTTATGTTGAAAGCTTCCCTGTAAAGAAAAAATATGGTAAAATCTATGACTAAATGTAACAGCTACAACTTTAAGCTACAAACTTTACCTCTTACTTGTAGGCAAGAGATGGAACCAAGAAAGAACATACTAACAATCTGGTGAACAGCCCCTTGAAAAGAATAGGCAATAAATTGGATAAAAAGAAAAGAATCTGACTAGGCTGTTAGCATCAGGCTCCCATGGAGGAACAAGTTCTAGTCAAGATAATCACTAACAGGAGTTTTATGTTAATTTTTAAATCTTTCATAAATATCACAGAATAGCAAGAAATTCATTCTACCCCACAGACAGTGATAGCTACTTGCTGCCTAACTTTGCCTTGATCGCTTTCTGTTACAAATGTTTATGAGAAGAAAAAGATGCAATACTTAGCTCATTTCCTATAATTTTGTTAACGACCACAAGAAAATAAGCACAAATTCAAAGTGCCTCTTCAGTCCAAGCAAGAGAAATCCTGTTTCTCCTATTGCTAAATGTGATCAGAATGACCTGATTATGAATATATTTATGTACAAAGTGTATATATAAGTATATATAGATATAATTACATATATTTGCAAATGATATTGCAGTTGTAAGAAACAAGTGATTCAATTAAGTCCAAATGTTTCCCACATGCAATCTGGCGAAGTATAATTTGTTATCATTAAGCTATCTCTACAACTTCAGAAATGAGAACTATACTTTCACGTCTTGCAGAAAACCATTACAGAAATTAATGGTCCTTGAAGAGGTAAAAAGTAGGTTAAAAAACAACAGCAAACAAAACACAGTGCTTGGTAGACACCAGCATTTCCTTCATTAGAGATGTCAAAACACTGAATACATACTATGTAGATACACGCCAATTTGGAAAGCCATGGAAAGGTTTGTTATTAACTGATTAAGCAAGTAATTGTAAAAATAGGCATTTACTGTATTACTTTCTGGAAGGTTAGTTACTTTACTACTGAAATCCTTTGAAGTAAATCTGTAAAAAATATAGTGTGTTGCCTTAGCATTAAGTCCACACTTCAAAATTGTCACTCACATCGTACCTGCAGTACAACAAAATCCAGTAGATTCATAGCATCACAAAGTTGGAATGGACTGTAAAGATCACCCAGTTCCAATCCCACTGCCGTAGGTTGGTTGCCACCCAGCAGATCAGGCTGCCCAGGGCCCCATCCAACCTAGTCTTGGGCACTCCTTTGTATAAGGCATCCAAAACTTCTCTGGGCAGCCTGTACCAGCACCTCATTACCCTCTGAGTAAATAATTGTTTCCTTATATCTAATCTAAACCTATCCTCTTCTACTTGAAATCCACTCCCTCTTTTCCTATTACTGTCCGCCCTTTACCAGTTTAAAAAGTCATTCTCTCTCCTGCTTATTAACTCTTCTCATTATCTTCTTCCAATTCTTGGCTGATACAGAGTTATCCCTTTATACTAAGGAGCAAATAGAGCTTAGAAAATACACTAGTAGTTAACAGTCATTTATGTAGCCAGTAAGTACTTCTCAGTAATGCACCTGCAGAAAGCTTAACAATTAGTTCTGCAACTTCCATGCTGATGAGCATGCTCCCTCCAATCAGCACTAGTAGCATTGCAGGTGAGAGACTGACAAAGAGTTTGAGCAGACCCTGTTGAAACCAAGATGTTTTTCAGATGTCTCAGGACTTGGTTTTCAGTTGAAAAAGATGTTTAACAGCACGTATTCAGTTCTGTTTTGTGCATATGTTCCCTGATTTATAGGAAATCTGAAATCAGAATGCTATAGTTGGAGAAATCTGACTGTAGACTGAAAATGCTTTTAAGCCAAAACTGTTCTCCTGCAGCACAAGTTTTCTGCATTTGGGGTACTGAGTCCCAAATAGTTATAGAATTCAAATGTGGAGAAACAATGAACCTGATAAAAAATCCCATGTAAATCGTACCAAGCTTCTACCTAACACGGCTTCACTTACAGAGTTTGCAGGTAGCACTTGATGATGAAATGAAGCAGAAAGCGTGGGTCTGAAGAAGCTTTCTTATAGGATGTAAATAAACCAGAAGAAAGTGGAAACAAACAATAAGAAACGAAACAAAAAGTCTTTATTCACGTAATACACATTTTGATTACAGTAAAGGCACTAAGAATGAAAATTTCTATAGCCAGATTGCTCAGGGGCTTCCTCCAGCTTTTTGCACAGCAGGATCAGGATGTACGTACAAATTGCAGCCTTCAAATTATCAAGAACAGGCAAATCTCTAAAGCTTTTTCAAACAGAAATGTTTCTCAAGTTCATTTGAAAAAAAGAAGTATGAAGAGTATTTCAAAACAGTCTGTTATTAGAATAATTGAATTCCATTTTGTACAGCAGCCCATTGAGTGCTAGTGTGCCAAGATCTTATCTTAGAGAAAAAAACATCCATGGAAGCTCAAAGGGACCATCACCTCCCTAGGAAGACTAAGGACCTGGAGAACTGAACGTAGGCACAAACTTTTTTCTCAAGTACTTTGCTTTAGTGACCTAGTATACAATTAAAAGGTGTACAGGGGTTAAGCAAAGTAGGATTATCACAGTGGAAAGATAATAAATGAAAAAATGCTCCTGATATTCTAGGCTTACAATAAATTCCATGAGGACCAATCTCCAGAAAAAAGATCTTTCCTCAGTGGCAGTCAGCACTTAAATGGGGTCTAGCAGAGGTGGAGTCGGCTCCATCCTTCTGGTAGCACAGGTGAATTGCCTTCACCTGTCCTCCGGCAGCTGACTTATTGCTTGCCTCAGGTGGTTGATCAGAGGTTCAGGCTGTGATCAACAGTTCCCATACACTGGGAAAACTAAAAGGTGTCTTCAGGGAGAAGTTTATGGGAGAGAGCAAACAACATATTTAGGTCAAGAGCCCCAGAAAACATTCTCCAACTGGACTTCTCAGTTCTCCTCTCACTTGGGTTATGGTCAACCATATGTTCCCTTCCTTAAAGCACTTTTAAAATCAATATCTCAACTCTGAATTGAAAGTCATCCATTCTGTCAAATCACGTCTATCACCTTGTCTTTATATGAGCTTTTTGTGGGCCAGACCAATCCTAGAAAGATTTGTTTACTTATTTTTGCTATCTTAAAATAATACTTCCAAACTCAAGGAGTTACTCATAGCCTAAGTTTGAATGTTTATACAAGCCAGACAAATCATTATGTGTCCCTTTTCATTGCAGGGGAGTTGGACCACCTTTAAGGGTATCTTCCAACTTCAACAATTATATGATTCTATTAGGCTTAGGTATTTCTCCTGAATGTACCTGTGACTATCCTGCCATAATAAGATAAAGTTACTGATGTTATTCTTCAAAGCATAGAAAACCCAAACATCTTTTCCTGCCTGCTTTGTATTTCACTGAGTTGTCAATCTACTAAATGCAGTCTGTGTGTGCAAAAACAATAGATATCTTATGTTGTCAGCTGGTATGTGATTAATTCTTTTTTGTCACTGAAATGGGCTATGGTGGCTCAATCCACAGTCATTACCTCAGTGGCTATGCAAAATTGTGCCCCACCAAAATACCATAATAAGTAGCAGAGAGACAAGGGGATAGATAAAGTGTGGCCTACTGCGACTCAAGCAGCTAACTGCAGTTTTAAACTCACTGATTGCTCTCCAACTGGACTGTAAAAACCACATAGTGTGAATTTTAGCAGCCACAATGGGTGGTGAGAAAGCGTAGGTGCCACACACCCATGGCAATCTCAGCCAACTGGAGCTTCAAGAGCTATCCTGGAAAAACAGTACCAGTGTATTTCTCTCAAGAGGTTCCTTTAAAGCAGTACTGCTTATAGCAGAATGTAACACTTGCATTATTTGTGTAACAAATTCATGTTACAAATACCTAAATCAGAAGATTTCAGTGTAACACCAGAATGAGCTCACTCTATTGCCCTCAGTATGATGGCTCTCTGATTCGATCAAAGTAAATTAAACAAAACTGATCAAAACATGTAGGCACAATAAAATAGATTAATGCAGACATATAATATCCTGTGTCAGTGCTATGGAAATGTCACTTTCCAATGTTGCTTTGTCAAAGAAACAAGTGCAAAGATCTGTAGTCCTACCTTTTTTTTGTAATTATTGATGAAGCGTCATTTTGTATAGCAGAAAATGAACTTCTATGCTTTAACTTGCATTACACTTAGCATTATTAACAATCCAATATTGTGTACAAGGAACATGCAAATTATAGGAAATTAATTGCTGTGAAGTACTATGCACCTGCCCAAACCAGTATTTTTTCTCAGCAAAATATGTAATATCAAAAAAGAGTTGAGTCATTAAGAGACTGAGAGCAGATGAGACTTCAAAACACTCAGTTTAAATGTGTATCAGATGTAATAATATGAGTCCAGTGGGATAAAAAAGTACACCAAATTCTGCAGGGGTTTTTGGTTTCCATGGGCAAGTAACAGTTGAGATTATTAGAATCAAGATGAAATGAGTAGTTCCTGCACTTATACAGGTATACTGCAGACAGAGGATTAAGGTGGTGCCTGTGTTCTGTATCTGACCAAGCAGCAGGCCGTATATCCCTAAAGAACATTTTTCTCCTGCAGGTCATATTTCCTACCTGCTTTGCATATGATGCACATGATGCATAATGAAATTCTACACAATTTCTATGAGGAACTATTTCTATGCATGGAGTTGGAGAACTGCAAAGCACCACATTTGTAGATGCCCACCTTCTTGTTGACCCTTCTCTTACAAACAGGAACCAATTACACATTTTGAGAAACTCAAATCAGGATCTAACTCTTCTACTATGTTCACTTAACAAAGGGACCACTGATTACTGCATAATTAGATAGGTGATCTAAGCTATCAATTTTTTTTTTCTTTTTGTGCAGCACTTGAAAATTCTTTAATGATTTTGTATGTAACATGACATAGAAGAAATTTATCACACTTTTTCTTTATAGAGAGATGCTTGTGTGGCTTCTGGCTTACAAAGGCAATTGTTTTCTGGCTCGAGACCTGAACTGGATGTTGAGATTTGATGACACATTTCTGGAAAAAGTGTATGACTTGCAGGTTGTCACTGCAGCATAATTCCCAAAGTCAAGGGGATTCCCCTATTAGCAAAACCTGCTTTCTTCTCTGATGTACACCATCTATGGACTTCCTGCCAAAGACATGGAATTATGTTCTTGAAAGGGCTTGCATTACTGATACTACTTCTAATGATTTAAGTGTCTAAATTCCATTTCTGAAGCAAGGTGGGCCAGATTCTGGGAAGTATTTTGGAATCCAGAGTTAAAAGTAGCCCAGCAGAGGGACTATCAAAACAACTCATAAATGCTACAAAATCTGCACTGTGGGGCCATTCTGGGGAAACGCATGTGGCAAAAGCCTAGAGATCTCTTCAGTTTTCAAAAATACAGCAGTTCCTGTGCAAGGAAGGGAAGGTGTTTGAATATAGGCATTCAAATATAAACTTAATTTCAAAGCACTGTTTTTTAAAAATACAGTCTTCCAGTAGTAAGATTATGATTTCAAAGTGGGAGGAGAAAGGAGATTTTGAGATTTTACTTTCTTGTTTGTGTAACAAAAACATGTAAACTTTCACGCAAAATAGAAATGAAAATGAATTCCACACAATTGGAATACTACAATTGAGGGCTACAACTGTTTTAGAAGGCAGAGGAGGAAGTGCAGGAGAGTTGCCCTCTACATTGAGAAGGGGATGGACTGCAAAAAGCTGCCCCTGAGAAGCAGCTATGAACAGGTTGAGTGCTTGTGGGTTAAGATTATGGACCAGACCAATAAAGGGCATCTGGTAGTTGGGTTCTACTAGCAGCCTATACAGCCAGGTGAAGGGGAGCCTGTTGATGAGGTCTTCTTTCTTCAGCTGCAAGAGGAGCCTGGCACAGGCTGCTCAGAGAGGCTGTGGTTGCCCCATCCCTGGAGGCACTAAATGCTACGTTGGAAGGGGCCCTGGGCAATCTGATTTAGCAGATGGCAACTCTGCTCACAGCCTGGGAGGTCAATACTAGAGGATTTTTAATGTCCCTTCCAACCTAAGCCATTCTATCTTCTACAGTTACAAACCACTTCAGCATCCATTACAGTTTTAGTCCTATACTGAGGAGTCTGAATCTTCAAGAGCGTTTGACACCTGTGGCTTCTTTGAAGCCAGTGAAGAAGATTCTGCTACTGTCATTTTTGGCATGTACTCAGAGAACTTTCTTGTGCAGGACGAATCACCGTGCATGCCACCTCTACAAGATCTTAGCTAAAATACTGTCATTCATACCAGTGCAGAGACTGCCAGAGGAGCTGCTGAGGAACTGATGAGCATAGCATGTGCAGTGTGGAGTTTTCCTATTGCATTCTTCTGTGCAGGATTGAGTGCTGTTATAAAGCACAGAAAGAGAACAGTTGGACAGCGCTGGATTCCTCT